TAAAAAAAAATAAACATAAACCCTTAAACTACCCCTTTTTCTTTGTATTAACCCTTTGGCTACTAACGGGACTCATTTGTCCCAACAATTATTTAAAAAATACTTATGGGGTGAAAAGCGCTTAGAAACTCATTGTAATATGTCTCAGTCGTAGAGTCGAACCAAGTATACGTGTTTCATACGTCAAATATCCCCTAGATGGCGCTAAAGAGTTTCTTGCATGAAATAGCATTGTGATTTTGGGCTGGGACAGATATATCCCACTAGTATTCTTCATTGGGACAGATATATCCCACTCATATTCTTCATTGGGATTGTTACGTTCATTCATATTTTCTCAAATAAACATAGAAAAAAGAACAAATATGAGTTGTCCAATGTGTAATGTCGGGTTATACAAAAATTGCTTTACCCTGTATTATACCATGTAAAAAATAGTCCATACAATAAATTTTTATGGAATGATAGATGTGCTTGTCGTAAGTCTATCAATACAGGTGGGACATATGTATCCCACCATTAAGTACGGCCGGGACATATGTGTCCCAGTCTCTAAATAGATAACCGCTTGTCAGAAAAATCCCAAATTCTAAATTTGCCTTATTTGTGACCTATTTCGTCCTTTTAAATAATAAACGGGACAAAAAAAATCATTTTCGTTAAAATTCGTTGTTAAAGGGCTAATGGAGCAAATATCCCTATAAAAGGAATTTAGACTCAAGTAGTACTGAAACCCAACTTTCAACATTCCAATGCGCTCCGGTGATTTATTATACATTCCCACTCAGATGAATTAGAGCCCTCGTGGGTCTGATGCCAAGATAACTACCACTTATGAGTATGAATAGTCTGAAATCACACAAATTTCAATTGAATGCCTGTCAACTACTGAGCTTTCTGAAAAATATTTTATAAAGTAGTAGGCATTTTAAAGCCAGAGCTTTCAGAATTTTTAGTAATTTCGCCAGAAGGTTAAAAGCCTCACCACGTGAGCTGTGGAACGAAGTGTGCGCATGAATTTCTGAATCATTTTTATGTAGCGGTGGGGAAAATAAGTTTAAATGAATTAAAAATAATAAATTAAAGCATAAACATAGCTACCACTGGAATAAAATTTTAGGCAGAAAGTAGGCAGCCCTGCAATTGCAATCAGAAATAATTATTAGGCCGTCGTCCGGAAAGTTCGTGGTTATTTTCAATAGGAAAAAACCCACCAAAAATATTCAAGTGGTAGAATATTTAAACTATAAATGTATATTTCATTTATTTTTAAAATTGAATCATTAAATTTTCTTGATCGCCGCAAAGGTTTAGAAACCTTTTGCATATATAGATGTCTAATACATGTAGGTGAATATCTAAATTGAGGTGGTTGCAATATAAGGAAAATTTAATATTGATTTGATAAGTAGTTTTCTTCCACTTTAATATTTTTAGAGGACCTTGGAGAGCTCAGCCTATCAAATATCAGCAAGACCATTCCGAATGGTAGAATATTTAAACTATAAATGTATATTTCTTTTATTTTTAATATTGAATCATTAAATTTTCTTGATCGCAGCAGAGTAGTATAAGTAGTTTTCTTCTACTTAAATAGTTTTAGAGGACCTTTGAGAGCTCAGCTTATCAAAAATCAGCACGAACATTCCGGACCCATTACGCAGAAATACACTTGTCTGCTGCAATAATAATAAAATAAACGATGGAAAACAAACAATGAACAAACTATGAAAATATGACACAAAAAAACATATAACCTTAACGTATTACATCATAAATTGAAATGCATTGTCGCCTTTTTCCTAATGCTCCTTACGTTGCAGAGAAGTGGAGGCACATTATATTCACTCTAGGGAATTTTAATATAACAAAATCCTTGTTAAGAATATTATTATTAAATTGCTTAAAAACCACAGCTTTTGAAAGTAAAAAACTGATCGCAGATTTGAAATCAGTGGCCGAAAATATCTAAGATCATTAATAAGTGGCATTAGATATCAAAAATCTAATGCCACAAAAAATAAAAATAAAAATTGTTTCAGTGTTATCATACATTTCAAAATCTCTTTAAATTAAGTTTAAAAATTTAGGAACTAAATTTAAAGCACATAAATTTTGCTAGCACTTTAAATACTAACTTAAAATCTAAAGGAAAATTCGTTAAAGTTGATATTTAAATCATTCTGAATCGCTGACCAATTCTTGTTGCAATCTTAATGATTTTGCAAAATTTACGAATTTAAACTCTATTCTTATATTTGGCGAAGATGAAAAATAATGATTTTGACTATCATAACGTTAAAATAATCTGCTTGCTATGATAAGGTGATTTTAAACCTTGACCAAATGTAAATGATTAGCGAATTTCATTGCTACTAGAAAAACACTTCTTTTTAGAGCGTAAAAATTTATAGGTAAATAGGCTAACCAATTAAGTGCCTATGAGTTTATAAACTGTTATTCAAAAAGATATAGACTTGCAGTTTATTTATTTCTTTTTTAACATTTATCTTAGGGAAAAACTAGACATTCCTGATCAACATTATACATATCCATTAACATTCGATGTGTTCGATGTTTTTCAATGTTAATGAGTAGAATCAAAACTTTTTTAAATAAATAGAACTTTTATTTAAAAAAAAATAGAACTTAAGCACATGAAGACTCCAAAGGTGACAACTACTCCGTATTCGACAAAATATTTTTTTTAAAAAAAGGTATTAAACAACAAACTAAACTGATACTTTATAAGCGGCTCAAAGAATGCCTCCTATGACTGAAACCCTCCACACGGTTTTTTATTAGTAGTCCGATCAGACCTTTATGAAGGTAAAAATGTTACAAACGAATTTATCTGAAAATCTTGTAAAAATAAGAAAGTGGTAGCAAATATGTATTTAAAATTTTTTTTTAATTTATGAATATGATTGGTTTGTCTTATTTACTTGTTTCTACAGATTCAATTCTTAAATATATATGATAAATTCCTCTCGAGTACTTTTAGAATAGAATTTGGGTTTATGCGCACAACTGGGTCACTTCTTAAATAGTCTACTTATAAGAAACCGTGTGGGGGCTTTCTGATGCAGGGGGTGATAGCACAACATGGCTAAAAGTGGCTAACCCAATATGTTTTTGAATTATTTATAGGTAGGGGTGAGTAAAAACCTTATAAGTCGAATTTATTAAATCAGGAATCATACATTAAGACTGCCACTCGAAAATATTCATCTGCTGTGGGGTACAAGAGGGCCCTTTTCCCATTCATCTTGTAATACAGATGTTTAAGACACAAAAAAAAAGTTTACATGGCTAGAACCACAAATAGCACTTATTAAAGTAGAAAAGAAAAAAATGGCATGAATGTACAGTAATAATTATATACAACAAAACAAATCTAAATTATTCACAAATTATTATGAGTGAAGAAAGCAAGTTGATCTTAAACTTGAGTTGAATCAAAATATTTCAAAATAATAAACTATAAGTGAGTTCACTCAATAAATAGCTAAAGGTTGTGTTAAAAGTGAGAATTAAATGGTCAGAGCTTTTATATATCTAATACGCAGTGGTATGCAGTAAGAATAACATTGATAGCAGTCGGAGTGAAAAATAAAAATACATTGATATAAAAATCGATATTTTAATATTTAATTAGTTTATTTCTATATTTAAAAGCTGAAATGATAGCCAACTCTAGAAAATATTCAGCCATTGCATATATGCACTACCACTTTTTTCATAAAATTACTTACTACAAAAAAATATCACACAAACATTTTTCTTCACAAAATTAATACAATACGTTGCGTTTTCGCAACAGGATCTGATTTGGGATAAATTAAGATTCGTAGCGCTCGCCATCTTAAATATTTGTTTGAATTTTAAACATGCGTTTTTTCGATTTTTTTTTTCTCTTAAAACTTTTATTTACATAGTGTTATTAGACTTAAAAAGAAAAAAATAAAGGGGTCACTTAACACGTTCATGCCGGAAAAAGTGAAAATACTGGCACGGGAAAAGAGAAAATACTGGTAGAAGAACTATTTCAATATCAGATAATATTCGGGAGGAGTTAATCTATTTTCAACAATAACAATTCACTGTAAGGAAATTTATCACGGCGAAGAAGCAATTCAATATAAAAATTGCATCAGTTAAAAACAATTGGTTGTTTTATTATTCCCGGAAAAAAAACTAAAAAATGAAATTTATTTGTTACCAGTTTTTACTCCGGTGCGCCGCCAAGATGAGAACATCTAGCGTAACCTACCAGTGGGTCACCCCGGCGTGAACGTGTTAATTAGATTAGGAGCGCTTGATAATTTTTGGAACTTCTTCGAATTTTCCTCAAATCAAAGCAATAGAGTAATGAGTTTTGTTTTGAGTAAGTAATTTAAAACAACACGTTTCTCACTTTTTACACTCTTTACATTTTTTTAAAATCTAATCTAATTGCAGTTTTAAAATATAATCTAATTGCACCTACGAATTGTTTAGAAATAGTGGTGGATAAAAATCTACTAAATTGAATTTATTAAACCAAGAATCACAATTAATAAACTACCACTTGAAAATATTTTTTCACTGTCCGGAGCAAGTTGGCATCTCTGTGTATATAAATAAAACTATTTTTTTGTGTGTTCTATATTGCATTAATTTCTTCAAGCCATTTTAGTAATGATAATAATATTAAAAAATTAAAAATTTACTCGAATTATGTGTTTCTAATAATCTTGGCTTCGCCGGTCACCGGTGACCCCCATAGCATTCAACGTGTTAATAACATCTCGAATCTACAGCGCACTGCCACTAGATATGCAGCATATTTAAATACTTTTAAGAAATCTTTCTTTCTTATCAGAGGAAGTTGGTTAAGAGATTGCAAAATGTTAGCTTTGACTTATCCTGCCGTTTGTTCTCTTAAAAAAAAAAGTCTAACATATTTCCGCCTTTGAAACAATCAAGAACTATTTGTTTATCTTCGCTTCACTTGTTTTAGGAAGAAGATGTGTAGATCAATGGAAAATGTAAATCGGTTCCATGTGGGAGGCTAAAAGCTTCAATCATCACAAAACTAAAACAGAGGGAGCGAAAAAAGAAAAGTAAATTAACAAAATTGAGAACACCAAAATTTTTTTTTCAATTACGTCACAGTCTCATGGGCCAATGACCAGACAGCATCCAGAATCAAAACCAGAAGTTCAAGGACGTTCTTACTTCTCCTCGCGCTAGTGACCGAATTTAGTCAAAAAAACAGAAGATCCGCTATTCCAACCTAACAGGTGATTCAGTTAACTTCGACGGATCATTCGAAATCGAATTCGTCTAGTTTTTTTTCTTCTTCACAAGCATGCTGAATTGGATAATTGGAAATTCTATACCGAATAATGATTGCGTCGAAGGTAAGAGGACTGCTCTTAATTTTGGTGTTAAATATGAGTGTGTACATTTAAACAGTATACGTTTTTAGAGGAAGTTTTAATGAGGAAAACTACTATTTTCGGAAATGATAAATATAGCTGTGACCCCTGCCGGCTTAGAGCTTCTCTTTATGAGTGCTGGATTTATAGATTACGCTTTTAATCTTCAGCTGTGATAAGACAATATTCGTTAAAATGAAAGTCGAAAGCTGTACTAATAGAAACAGTTAAGTAATATTATTTCTGTTATAATGATTGTTTATTATACTTAATGTTACGAGATAAGAGCAAAAGCAATTTTTTATTCTTCAAACTAATTATTTATTTATTTAATTAAATTTTTTAATGATTATTTAGCAACCAAAACTTACTGATTTCTAACATTTTAAACATGTCTATTAACAACACTTTTTCAGTGATTACAATCTAGTGATCCTATTCGTCCATTTAAAAATAGTTATTAAATTTTTTAAACACTTGAAGATCGCACAAGGACTATTCTACTAGTATGTAAATATGTAAAAAATTAGTATTTTAGTATTCGAAACGATAAATATAGCCTTGTCTTCCGTCAGCTTAGAGCTGCTCCTTATGAGTGCTGGATTTATAGATAATCTTCAGCTGTGATAAGACAATATTCGTTGAAATGAAGGTCGAAAGCTGTATTAATAGAAACAATTAAGTAATATTTCTATTATAATGATTGTTTATTATGCTCTATGTTATGAGAGAAGTGCAAAGGCAATTTCTTATTTTTCAAATTAATTATTTATTTATTTAATTAAATTATTTTAATGATTATTTAGTCACCAAAACTTAACAATTTCTAACATTTCAAATATGTCCATTAACAACACTTTTTCAGCGATTACAATCTAATGATCCTTTTCGTCCATTTGAAAATTGCTATTAAATTTTTTAAACACTTAAAAAACGCGCAAAGACTATTCTACTAATATGTAATTGTTGTGTAAAAAATATTTCGGTTTTCGAAACGTTAAGCTTTCTTTATGAGTGCTGGATTTGTAGATAATCTTCAGCTGTGATAAGACAATATTCGTTAAAATGAAAGTCGAAAGCTGTATTAATAGAAACAGTTAAGTAATATTTCTATTACAATGATTGTTTATTAAGCTCTATGTTATGAAAGAAGTGCAAAAGCAATTTCTTATTTTTAAAACTCTTTATTTATTTATTTAATTACATTTTTTTTAATTGCATTTTTTTATAATATTATTTAGTCACCGAAACTTACCGATTTCTAACATTTGAAGTACGTCTATTAACAACACTTTTTCAGCGATTTCAATGCAATGAACCTGTTAGTTTATTTAAAAATAATAAATGTTTTAAACGCTTAAAGGACGCACAAAGAATTCTACTAATATGTAATTGTTCTGTAGAAAATATGTTGATACTTTGAAACGATAAATATAGCTTTGATCCCTGTCGACTTTGAACTTCTCTTTATTAGTCCTAGATTTGTAGATAATCTCTAGCTGTGATAAGACAATATTTGTTAAAATGAAGGACGAAAGCTGTATAGATAAAAAACAGTTAAATAATTCTATTATAATGATTGTCTATTATGCTTTATATTTTAAAAGAAATGCATAAGCAATTTTTATTTCTAAAACTATTTATTTTTTTAATTACATTAATCTTTTAAAGTTAGTCCCCAAAACTTGCTGATTTCTAACATTTTAGATTTGTCTATTAACAACACTTTTTCCAGCAATTACAATGTATTGATCTCGTAACGTTCATTTAAGAATAATTATTATATTTTTTGAGACTCCTAAGATTGAATTTGGTAGTTGTATTTTTTAACAGTTGAAGAAACAGATTTTAAAGAATATAATTGTACAAAATATTGAAATTGTGCAAAACTGTTTTAAGAAAAAAATTGCGTAACAGTATCTCACATCTATAATATCACAAAAAAAATTGCTCAATATCATTGCTTCATAATATCAAGAAACTTTAGCAAATGCTATATTAAATTCATTTCTTCTAAATCCATTAAAAATTCTTGTAAAAATTACAATCGTCGAAAATATTGAAATTGTGCAAAACTGTTAAAAAAGAAATTAGCATATCGATATATCACACGCACATCTATAAACATATTATGACAGAAAAAATATTGTTCAATGAATACTCTTAATCCAAGAAACTTTGACAAATGACGCATTAAATTTATTTCTTCAAAATTCATTAAAATTTCTTGTAATATTCATTAAAAATTATTACAAAAAAATGTAATTGTACAAAATATTGAAATTGTGCAAAGCTGTTATAAGAAAGAAATTGCATATCAATATGCATATGCAATCAATATGCATATGCAATTGCATATCAATACATCTATAAACATAATATGACAAAAAAAATCATTCAATAAATATTCGTAATATCAAGAAACTATGACAAATGCTACATAAAATTCATTTCTTCTAAATTCATTAAAAATTCTTGTAGAGATTATAATTGTCGAAAATATGGAAACTGTGCAAAACTGTTAAAAGAAAAATTTGCATATCGATATTATCACACGCACATCTATGAACATATTATGACAAAAAAAATTATTCAATGAGTATTCATAATATCAAGAAACTTTGACAAATGATACATTAAATTAATTTGTAAATATTTCAATTAATTTAATGACATAACTGAATAAATTTAGTTTTGGAATTTATAAATTAATATTATTTTAAAAATCCTTGTAAAGTTTATGTAAACCATTGGTAGGAAAACTATACTTCTGTCAAGTGTTATAATTCAGGATGCTCCTTAAACTGAGTCTAATTTATACATTTTAGAATTCTTGTTAAAAATGAAATAAAAAAGCATACTCATTAGATATCGCAGATTAATATTCAATCAAAGACATAACCGGAACCGAAATTTGTCGAATCACTAATGAAGAAGGTGGAAGGAAAAATATCAAAACTAGTTTGATTACCTGATGAAATTTTGCTGTCCGATTATCGTCTTTTATCTATTTATTAATATTTTCTTGTCCTTTTTCCTCACTAGTTAATTGTTAGATTTCGATAGCGTTTTTGCTTTTTTATTCTCTTAAATGTTTAGTTGCCACCCCTAAAGTGTATATATTTCCCTTCATTTTTAACAAGCAACGAAGAAAAGAACCACATAAATAATGCTTAAAAGACTAAGTATCAAATAATAGGCTTGGATAATTTTAGTTCCGCCTTTCACTGTATTAAATCCTTAAATTTCTATTGCATAATCTCCTTCTCTTAACCCTTTCGCGCCGACTGTCACAAATACGTGCCAGTATAAAACCGTATCGACCAGGGTAAAAAGATAAAACTGGTAATAAAAGTAATTCTTTAGCAGTTTATATGTGGGCGGAGTTAGAATTGTTTGATTTATTTAATTCTCCATTACTTTGTTCAAAATAAAACTATTTAGTTATACTTTGAATTAACATTGATTATATATATATGTTTAAACTAACAACAATTAAAGTAAAAGCAAAGTAAGTCTGTCAAATTAGCAACGACTACATTTAAGTTACCGTTTTTTATTTAATTACAACTTGATTCTGATTTTGTACGAGTGCTTTTCTGAATCACCCGTCCCCAAGGGGTTAAATATTGATTAGACCACTACAGAGTATCATACCTGCCAACTTTTAATCCCTTCCATTATCATTTTTCCCAGTGGTATTAAAATGGAATTAAAACTTCAATTTTATGCAAACAAATACGTTGCATTTGAGAAAACTTAAGTTGACAACCATGAACCATTAGAACCATTAGAAATTAACCAAATCTCGGTGCGCTGCCGCGAAGCATGATGGTACCGCATATTAATACATGTGCTTAATTTTTGAAAGAATAGTGGTGATCAAAATCATTTAAAAATTAAGTTTATAAAAGAAAAAAATGGTATATATTTACTACCACTTTAATTATGAAAATAAAATCTTTCGGAAAATCCGCAAAAGTTGGTAAGTATGGAGTATGCTTTTTTCGCCCTTTTTTATGAGATTCAAAGAATTTATTAAAGACGACGGTCATAACTAAACACCATGCGCGAATGTGTAGTTGTGTATAAATTGGTTAAAAATTGAATATATTCTTTAAGTAAAAGTTACCGAGAAAGAAATACATATGAGAACAACGCAAAAACAAACAATTACAGTGTGAGTTCTTTAGTAAAAAATTATGTATTTTTTCGGTTATGGCTCTTATTTCAACATCCCTCCATAAACATAAATTTTGATGATTAAAGAGGGAAAATTCAATGTCTTCCACACAGGCAAGTGAGCCGAGATAGCATGATCGGTAGGGCGCTGGGCCCATGTCCGAGAGTTTGTGGGTTCGAACACCGCCAGCCGAAGATTATCCGTGTAGTTAAGTGACTGATGCACGTTAAATCTGTCGAGTCGCAAAATTCCTCCATGTTCCCATAACAAATCAAAACCTCTGGGGGTACTGGATTGGCGATCGTTCTCTGATTCAGGTCAAAATTACGATCTGTGGATGAATGAATGGATGTATGAATGGGTCCGCCCTATAAACGGGTGCGACGTATGGTGCGGCAGAAGTCGAATTCTTGGCCATAGATGGCGCCACTGGAAAACAAAAACAATCACACTGCCTAAACAAGCATACGTCAACAACAGGCAAGCGAGGCATTGCTTACGATTTATTTTTTACTCTGATTTGAATGATATTNGGTAAGTTTCATAAAATTCCATGTGTAATTTCTTGAGTTATCGCGATTTTTGTGAATTTTCCTTAATTTATGATAACCAGTGTAGTTTAGAAGTTATATGGGTTTTATGTACAAAAAGTACAATTTTGTATTTGTACCTGTTTACGCATCTGACATTACTATCTAGAGAAGCAAGGCATTGTTTCCTATGTATAATTTTTTAAAGTTGAATCGAACGAAGCTTTTCAAGAGTAAACAGAATCTATGTTTAAAAGTGAAAAACACTT